AAAAATGGAGCAGAAAAAGATCTCTACATACTCTTTTTAAATTTTTTTTATTTTTGACAGGCAGAGTGGATAGTGAGAGAGAGATACAGAGAGAAAGGTCTTCCTTTTTGCCGTTGGTTCACCCTCTAATGGCCGCCATGGCTGGCGTGCTGTGGCCAGCGCACCGCGCTGATCCGAAGCCAGGAGCCAGGTGCTTCTCCTGGTCTCCCATGGGGTGCAGGGCCCAAGAACTTGGGCCATCCTCCACTGCACTCCCTGGCCACAGCAGAGAGCTGGACTGGAAGAGGGGCAACCAGGACAGAATCCTGACAGGGACTAGAACCCGGTGTGCCAGAGCCGCTAGGTGGAGGATTAGCCTATTGAGCCGTGGCACCGGCCCTCTACATACTCTTTTGCCATGCACCTTATTCAGATTTTTCAGGTCCCTTCGACAAGGCCCTGGAATTTCCACTTGCATTTAATATAGGCTATTTGTATTTGGAAACTTCATTCCTTTATCACAAGGATTTCTGTGGGTTGGGTATTATTATTCAAACCTGGGAGAAGGTTATGCATTTGAGAATTGGGATCCTTCAACTCAGGTTTGCAATCTAGAGTCTGCCCAGAGAATATTTTCTTATGTCTTATGAACATTTATACTTATTTCATTATTTAATTGTTTATGTGAATTCCAGATCATTTTGCTAAGAAAATGTGAAATAGCCCATCAAGAGGAAAAACAAAGCAAAACAAAACAACCCCAGGCTCACAAATGTTCTGCTACCTTGCCGTGCCTGTCAAGTGGAAGCCCTGAGAACGGAACTCTAAATGATTCTTTAGAGATGCCTATGGCATTACCAAAATTACCCAGGACAGTTTCAGTAAGGGGTATTTTTCTGTTCAAGGCTGGAAAATAGTCTTATTTTAAATATTGGAACTCTATTTTTTTTTGCTAGCTGTTCTAAAAATATTACACAAGATCTTAAACAGGATCTTAAATTTCCTCTTTTCATCAAATTATCAATCAGTAAGATTTTGCTGATGGAAAGCCTTACTGAAGGAGACCAGGAAATGTTCTCTTTAAAGGTCTAATTCTCCACCAGGAAGGGCACAGGCTGCATTATCCCCCCAACTTTGGGAGTTTACGGGTCAGTGAGAGCAATGGTGAATGTTCACCTTGTAGAACCAGATCCTAAGAAAAGCCATTTTGCCAATAATCTGCTGTGAGGAAGCAGCATCAATTAATTAATATTGGGGAGAGCACATTATGTGTCTGCATGCTTAAATGGCTGGCCCATTTGGACTGAAATGAGTGACGCATTTAGCTATAAATTCCAGTTAAGTTGGTGAACCATTTAACTCAGTAAACGAATTAAGTAAGGCTAAATTTAAAAGTATGAATTGGATGGCCCGAGTAGATGGATCAAAATCAAAAAGAATGCCATAAAGAAATATGGACAGAGCCCTGGGAATGAGGAATTTCTCTCCATTTTCAAAGAAGTCCCCAAATAGTCTGCAAACATCTTTTGTAGTGATTTAAGATGGACGTGTTAACTTTCTGGGTATGTAAGGTAGGAACGGAAATGGAGAAAAAGACCTCAATAAAAATCTAGAGGTTTACAATAAAAATACTCCTTAGAAAACTGCATATGTTTTGAATAAGAAAAAGCTTTCCTTTCTCTCATTTTGGTTATGCCTTTCTAAGTTGCTAATTTATTTATCAGCAGTCTTAACCCAAGTCAGGTGACTTGGCCTTGCTGATTCTTCTGTTGGCTCTGATGCCTACTTCCGGGAGTCTCCCAAGGAGATAGTGTTTATTTACTTTGTGCAGAAAAAACAATTAGACTCTTTCCAACCTCTCGGTTGTATTTTAGTTTTTTTTTTTCCTCCTTGTGTTTTTCTTTCCTTTTGCCCTATTTCTCTCTTAATGCTTAAAATTAATCTCCCACTCCCACACTTTTTCCTCTTTGCTCTACCCTCTGGCTGCCTCCCTCACAGTGATATTACTGGGACTGCTTCTCTGCCCGACCTGCCAGTTTCCCTTTCAACAGTCCTGAAGCATCCATCCATTTTCCTTTATCCATGGCACCCCTGTTTCTCACAGTTCCTATGTGAATATATGATTTTGTGTTCCCTCCAGAGAGATTTCTATAGGATACTGTTGGAAATTCCAAGCTATTGGAAATTAGAAAATTCCAATATTTGGAATTGTGTTGATGGACAGCTAATTTTTCATACAGTTTTTAAATAACTTTCCAATTGGATTTGCTCCTGGAGTTTTTTCCAAATTTGTTCTATGTTTCTCTTCCTAATAGGCACAGGTCATCTTTTCTTCTTCACTCGCTTGCTTAGATCCTTCTTTGTGGAGTAGGCTTTGGTCAGATTGAAGAAATTCTATACTGAGACTTCTGCCTACCCAAGAGAACCTAGGCAGGGCGGCACATTCTTCTTTGCAACTACATAGATGGGCCTTCACACCCATTCTTTTTGGGATCAGATTTGGCTGGTAGCAGGAAGCCTGCTTCGATGGCGAGTGGCACTGTGTACATGTGTGTCTATGGACAGACAGACAGATGTCTGACTGAGGCTTGCCACTTATCACTTGTGTTACCCAGGGTAAACCACTGAATTCTCTGCAGCTCTCCACATTCTTGGAACTAATAACCCACAACTCACGGGGTTTAGTGGGGGATTTTGCACTGGGAGCATTTCCAGTGACTTGTAATTTCCTGTTCTAACCTAGGAGGAACCCTTAGAAAACTTGAAATAGTACAAGTTAGACACAATAGGCACCGTAAAGGCAGTGGAAGTTAGGAATGATAAAAATAGTGCCCCTAATATAGCACTTCCAGTGTTTCAGAGGACACTCATATTGTCCATTTAATTCACCCTCCCAATAATGCCAAGGGCTGTGTGAAGATCCCAGGACTCTCTGCAGGGAACTGCAGCATCTTTTTGGGACACTGCTATTATGTGATTTATTTGCGAGGAGTGAAATATCCACTAAAAAGCTACTTGGATATTAGGAAGGTAATGGCTGGTAAGAGATCATCCTGAGTGTGGAAAATTGGAGCCATTCAACCTTGTAGAAAAGAGGAGTTTTATGTTTCATTCCCAAGTTCAGAGAAAAGAAAACCTTTCCTTTTCTTTCCACTTTGTTTTTTTTGGCAAGGCTCAGTAAGACTACAACTCACATGTAAGACACACTGGGCCAGATTTTCAAAGAGCCTCTGTATTTTGCATGTGTTATATTTTTCATGCCCAGCTCCAACTCTGGGTGCTGGTAGAGTTTGTGAGGTGGAGGGTGGGCACAGACGGGCTTTTCACATTTGCTGTTCCACTTTGAATGTGGAAATATACTCACTTTTATGAGATTTGGTTTTCTTGAAAGTTGAGTTCCTTAAGGAAGCTTATACCTTGAGCAGCATAATCTTGAAATGAGCAGTTCTGAAAAAATAAATAAATAAACGAGATCTGTGTCTGACTGCGTGGATAGTAATAAGAAGTTGTTATATTGTCAAAAATAGAATCAGCCAAAACAGTTCTCCAAATTATCCTGGAGTTGGTAAGGGCTGGGGCCACTTTCCCTTACACACAGGTCGGCATGCCTTTTATCTTGGCAACTTTTGTCTAGAATGGACCTTCACTGGAGAATATTTGCATGTCTCAGAATTAGTGTTTGATAACAGAAAACCTTGACACTTTGGTTTATTATGGGAGAGATGTAGAGTCCTTCTTTCTGATGTGACCACTGGGGACTTTACACTCCCTTGTTTGGCTCTTTGCCATCTGTGTCTGTTAGAGTAGGAAAGGTACTGTAGTAGAAAATAAACAACAGAATCTCAATGGCTTGGAACAACAAGAGTTTATTTCTTGCTCTCACTGCATATCTATTGTGAGTGGGAAGGGGAGGGGAGTGTCTGCCAGTCACAGGGACCCACAGTAAGGGAGGCTGCCCTGTGCACCTGCTTCCACATTCACCATAGCAGGAAAGGGGAACACGAGGAATCTTGCCCTGGCTCCTAAAGCTTGTGCTCATCTATGAGACCTCCACTTCTCATATTTTCTCGGCCAAATAAAGTCCTCTCACAATGCCTAACTTCAAAGCATTTTGGGCCGTTTGGTCCCATGCTGAGCCTAGACAGAAGATAAGAGAAAGAGCTAGGTGTCTTGTGACCCTCCCATCATCCATTAAATGGAACTATGAGGGAAGGGATTGCTCTAAATTATGATAATTAGCACTGCCCCATACATTTCTGAGAACTGATAGAAAAGCATTGTCATGAAGATCCAATAGTATGCCCCACGTACTAAAACTCCTGTAGCCTTGGATCTTATGATACAGCAGCTTCAAGGACTATTGATGCTTTGAAATGTTTTCAGTAACAGTGACTATAATGAAAAAAATAGTGAAGAGCAAATATTCACCCATAAAGAGAAATGCATCCCTTAAGAAATTTTTTAACTTCACTTCTTTTTTCCTTTAAAATTGTCTTTCAAAAAATTTTTAAAAAGACTTATTTATGTGAAAGGCAGAGTTACAGAGAGAGAGAGAGAGAGGGAGGGAGAGAGAGATAGGGATATCTTCCATCATTGGCTTCTCAGATGGCTGGGCAAGGTCAAAGCCAGGGGCCTGGAACTTCATCTGGGTCTCCCATGTGGTTGGCAGGAGCCAAAGTACTTGGGCCATACTCTGCTGCTTTCCAAGGCATATTATCTGTGAGCTGGATTGGAAGTGGAGCAGCTGGGTCTTAAACAGCGGGGATGCTGGCGTTGCAGGTGGCAGCGTAATCCTCTGGGCCATAGTACTAGCCCCTGTCTTTTAAATTTTAATCAAAGAACGACATTGTGATCAGATTAATCAACATTTGATGAGTAGGAATTAAGACTCTTGGAGGAATTAGGGAGAGTAGACTTCTCAAGTTGCTAACATACAAGTTAGAGTCTTCAACTCATTTTTTGGGATTTGAGTGTCATCACAAACACCACTACCACCACCATCCCTATCAACTTCACTATACCACCATCATCACCAGCATAGTCACCACTATCACTACCATCACTAGGACCATAACCGCCACCATTACCATCATCAACATCACAACCATCATCACCAACCATCACCCCCACCCCCACTACTACATCACCACCATCACCATTACCACTACCATCTCCATCACCATCACCCCCACCACTACCATCATCACCATAACCATCACTACCACCACCCCAACATCATTATCATCACCACCATCACCATTACCACCACCATCTCCATCACCACCATCACCCCCACCACTACCATCATCACCATAACCATCACCACCACCACCCCAACATCATTATCATCACCACCATCACCATCATCCCTATTGCCATCACCATCACTACCCCCACTACCATCACCATCATAACCACCATGATCATCCCCGATGCCACCATGACCACCACCATCACCACCATCGTTATCACCACAATCACTGTCATTGCCTTTTATCATTTATATAATGTTTCTCTTCAGACCATGACAAGAACCTTCAATTAGGTAAGATTTTTAATTAGGTTTGCTTTCTCTTCATATTGCACAGTCTAAGAAATAAAAAGGTCTATACAAGAAAACTAGTAACTCAAAAACTTCCTTGGGAACTGGGTCTGGACTAAACTTGTCTTTCTCCATTTTCATTCTATTTTCTGTCAATATTCTTCCTATGGTAGGTTTTCTTGTTAAACACCTTTATTCATTGCCTTATTATTTTATTTCAAAATAGTATTTTATTTATTATTTTTTGAGATAACATTTTTAATTTACATTATAGTCAAGGACTTAATGGTTCCACTAAATAAAAAGTTCAAAAAATAAACTTGAAAGAGACCCCAGAGCTCAAAAAAAAAAAAAAAAAAGTGACAGACATCATCACCAGTAGGTCTCAGAAAGGGTTGTGTGTTAGTGTGCTTCTGTCTCTTTTACTATATGTACCACTCTGGTATACCCTTTTGAAGTGCAAAGATACGAACAGGATTCCCAAAGGTAGGGTTGTTTTTCATGCCAAATCCTGTTCCTCTGTGAGCAGAAGAAATGCTGGAAGGTGCATTCACGAGTAAGGTGACAAAGTGACCAGATCAGAGTGAGCGGGCAGAATCTTGCCAGCTGCAGATATCACTTCAGGTTTCCCCTGTTCGCTCTGAACTGGACATGACACTCCAGGTGGGAATCATGTTTCCAGTGGGCTTCACAGGGGAATCCTGAGGTCATTGAGCTGTAGAGGTTGTGGTTCTGTTGTGGCCTCTGGTTTATGAAGTCAGTGGTGTCTTGGATCCTTGCCCATAGCCTGTGCAATTGCCACAACCTTTTGTAATGCATTTGTGTCTCTAAACACCCTTCTTGGCTGGGGTAGTATGAAGACTAGAGGGATTCTGGCCCAAGGCTAAAGCCCTAGAGTTTTACTATTACCCTTCAAAATAGTAGCAAAACAAAGATGTTATTAAATTACCAATACTAGCTCCAAGTGAATGTTTTCCAAGAATTCCATACTTCCACCTCACATAATACTTTTTTCTTTTGGGGATTTTTTTTTTCTGAATCAGTTTCCTTCTTTGTGGCCCAATAATCTCCAAATAGAATTCTCTCCATCTTCCATCCTTCATCAGGAGAAAAACATAGTATCATTTTCTGGCAAGAAATTAATCTCTGAAAATGAAAGACAATATTTAGTGACCAAAAAAAATCCAAGAGTACAACTTCTCTGATGAATCAGAACTGGATGTGATTAAGGGCTCAGTGCATTAAAACAATGCGCACCCACATCCATTCCTCCATTTCCCAAGAAAATCAGACTGTGCCCTTTAAGTAAGTTGGAGGTGCTTAACAAACTCTTTCAGTGAGCCATAGATAAGTGCATTGGCATAGTTTGAGGAAATGCATAGAGGAAATTAAAAATATTTATTTTATTGAACTAATAGTCCCGGCTGGAGATTAAAACAGCAATTGAGCCCACAACTGCAAGATAGATAGCTATTTAGCAGATTAGTTTCTATTTATTTAGTTCCCAACTGTCAACTTGAGTAGTTTTAGATTGTAACTCACTAAATGCTTATAAGAGAGTCCCATGACTCTAAGCCTGTCTGAGACTGTAACTTCAGATTGAAATGAACTTAGTCTGGGGCGGCATTGTGGCCCAGAGGGTTAAGCCACCTCCACATGTAATGCCAGCATTGCACATGGAAGTGCCAGTTAGAGTCCTGTCTGCTCCACTTCCGATTCAGCTCCCTGTTAATGCTTCCAGGAAGGCAGCAGAAGATGGCCCAAGAGCTTAAATCCCTGTTACCCATGTAGGAGACCTGAATGGAATTCCTGGCTCCTGGTTTCAGCCTGGCCCCAGTTCCAGCCATTGTGTTCATTTAGAGGGTGAACCAAGATATGGAAGATCTCTCTGTTCTTTTGTCTCTCTCTCTCTGTCACTCTGCCTTTCAAATAAATAAATATTTTTAAATATACTTAGTTTGAGTATTCATATTGGTGGACATTATTTTTATACAGAGTTTGAAATTCCTGTGAACCTAGGTCAGCTAAGAATTTGGTATGTTGTAGAGAATTATGATCTTAAGGCCATACATTTTGTTCTTGCTAGTTTGGAAAGTTCCTCATGCCATTTTATAATGTGCTTCAGAAGAAAGCATTTTAAAAAGCATTATCTGTGAATCAGAGCTGGCTAGCTATTTTCATTTTGGGCTTTATCTCTTAGCTACTTGAATCAGAGCACACTGCTTAAGCACGGTTGTGTTCAGTATCATAGCCATATCTTCTTTGTGGATGTACAACTGCAGTACATATTTTCGTTTTAGATTTATAAAGGAAGGCATATTTGTAATACAACATATTATGGTGAAGCAGCTATGTTTTTTCCCAGGAGATGGTAGTAGCTACAAATTAGATTTTAATGAGTGTTTGCTAAGTACCATGTTCAGGCAGTGGGCTGAAGGATTTTGTGTCCATTAGTTCCTGTGGAGACAGCAACTCTGTTTTATGGTAACTCTGATTACCATCATTTTGCAGGTGAGAACACTGACAACTCAGAGAGGAGACCTAACTCTTCCATGTACACCTACCTGGCAGTGGGAGAGCTGAGATGCTGCTAGCCTAGATCTTGGAGCTGAACGTGTGAGACCTCTCTTAGAACAGGCAACAAGCTGGGTATTTGATCACTGTGGACAAGAAGTGGTAAGTGCAAGTGTGAAGCTGGCTTTCCATTCTCTTGTCCTTGGTAGAAATACTCCTGTGAAACACCCATGCCTTTTCAAGCAGGCTTTCCATGGAAAGGCGAGTGTGGGCACACATTCAACACAATCCCCAGAGTGCTTTTGCACAGCGGCTCTTCCGCAAGATTACAAAGACTGGGAACCTAGCCCATTATTAATATTTTTGTAAAAAAATCATTCTGGCTTCTTTCAGTTCCGTATCAATTTCAAAGGTCGCTCTCGGGGTGGGAGCAACTGAAGTTGAAATGAACTGAATGTTAAATGTAGCCTCGGAGCGGAAACTCTGCTTCGGAATTGAAAAGTTGGTGGGATATTCATAGGAGTGTAATATGAGCACCGGATCCCAAGTCAGGGTCAAAACTTTGTTGCAAACTGTATTGGCTATTTGTAAAACTGGCTCCTCAGGGACTGGTGGAGGATAAGGTAAGAAGGCGGAGTGGGTTGGTTTCTGCCCAGCCTTGAGACTGTGGACTGCCCTTTCTCATGCTGGGGAAATCTCTTCTCCAGGACTTGGGGTTTTAGGAGGTGTCAGTGGTGGCCTCCAGTCCTCCCGGCTCTGGGAAGCCCATCCTTGACTCAGCGCAGAACTCATTTCTTCATCCTTGTCAACTGGTTTACACCTGAGAAATGGAAACGGTGGTGGAATCTATAGGAAAATCATCATGCTGCGGTTTGCAAGTGACACTGTTTGCCTTTTCCTAGATGGAGTTATTGATTTTTTTTTAAATCATGGAGGGATAGACCCATATGGGCATCATCTTAAGATTCTGGAATTATGCTTTAAAACTGAACAAAGGGATCAAAAACTGATGACCTAAATTTCCTTTCAAGAATTAACAAATCTCTTCCCCTTTCCCCTACCCTGCCGCCCCAAATCCTACTCATCTGTAGTTAATCTAAGAATTAACATTTAGCAAATTACTGCCTTAGTGCCTTAAATGAGGTATGTATGCCTAGTGGTTCAGTTAATTAGAACCCTGTGCTAATGAGGTCACGGGTTCAGTTCCCCAAGGAGGCTGGTTCATCTCGCTGTGGTCCCCCTCTGAACCCCAGCCAGCTCTCCAAATGGATGTTGGTCACAAATGCCATTCTGGGGAAAGGATCAGTGTGGACTTTTCACCATTTGTGGGGAAAACAACTCCGAACAGATGCCTTGAGTTAGTTTGGAATAGGGCAGGGATCCCATGGGTACAAGGATGGTTACCCCAGGGGCTGCAAGGACTTCTCACAGACTATGCCTAGGGCCACACTTCCTGAAGGTGGCTTCCATACTGGAGAAATAGGTTGATGTGTGTGGGAAGTTCCAATCCCACCAGTTAAAGGGAAACATCACCTAATAACAGTAGGGGGCAGAAGGCTTCATCTAGATTCAGAGGGGCGCTTGAGGGGAATCTTGTTGAAGTTTCACCCCTTATCTGAGTGATGCATCGTCACTTTGGCCTCCCAGCTGACATCTGGACCCCTGCTAGTCACAGCTCTATTTCTCACAGCCAGGCTGCTGCACCTGCTGCAGTAGCTAGAGCACTGCGAGGGAGAGTGAGTCTCCATTCTCTACTCCCAGCTCTCTTTCGGAAACCCCTTTTTCATGTTCAGTTCTGAGGCGACTCTCACCAGATCATGACCAGATGCATGGATATCCTCTGGGGCCCCTTCTTGGATTTAGGGGAGGAAAATACTTAATGAGCTGCAGCTGTGCCTGGTAGCATTTGCCACTGAAACCAGCAACCTTGGGGTGGGCATTGAGCTAGTGGTTAAGATGCCTGCATCCCAGATCAGACTACGAGTTCAATCCCTGACCCTGGATCCTGAGTCCAGCTTCTTGCTATTGTAGACCCTGGAAGATAGCAGTGATGGCTCAACTCACT